GACGACTCATCCGAAAACGATTACTAAAATCCTCCGGTGTATAAACACACGGATTATTAAAGTAGTCGTTTAGAAGTGAATCGTGGGCGGCCGCTCGATCCCGGTTTAGACGTTGGCGTCGGGTCCGTCGTCGGGAGGATTCGGCTTCTTCTTGGCCATCTTCCCACCATTGAATACAATTCGTCGCGAAACAACGAAAAAATAAAGCTCTTCTTTCATCGTCGGAAGATGAACCCATTTTTAAATTATATTTTATAAATATTTATAATAAATAATAAATATTTTTGAGAGAATAGAAAGAGAGTAATTTCGAATTTTAAAATTGGAAGAAGAAGAGATTGAGAAGAGAAAGTGTGAGAGATTGAGAGGGGGGGGTTGAATTTATAAGAAAAAAAAATAATTCTTTTTTAAAAGGGGTGCAACGGCTATAAAGCCGTTGGGAGGGGGAGGGGAGTGGAATGACGTCGCGTCATTCCTTTGACGCAGTGGCGATCACGCCCGATCACGCCTGGAGGGGGGCGGTGTTTAACGCCGCCGGGGCGTTAAACGCCCCCTCACGCCGTGGGGCGTTGCGGGTATTACCAGTGCTCTTAGGCCACCATCCCATGCGAAAGGCAAAAACCACCTTTTTGCACACACTCAAAGCATGGATGGCCCGAAGGGTGTGCAAAGTGGTCAATCGCACATGGCCCCTAAAGTTTTAAGGTCTATATTTTTAAATTTGTTAATAATTTTAAAGCAAAACTATTTTAAAAAATAAAATAGGGCCCAAAATATAAATTTTAGACCGGACCAAATTTATTTTTTCATTTTTCGGGGCTTGACCCAAAGGACACAACCTTAATTAAGACATAACATTTCTAATTTTTCTATTATTTTTGCACTCCTTTTAATTGTTCAATCACTTTAACACTTTCTTCCTACCTTTTTATTCATTTCTAAAAAAATTTCTTAATATCTATACAAATTCTCATATAATGCATTCTTTGGCATAAGAAAAACCTGATAGTGTATTTTAAGAATTATGTAGTATAACAATTTCCTACTATTATAGAGTAATAAACAACTCTTCTTTATCAGAATCTAAATGCTATTTCATGTAACAATTTTCTCAAGAGTTAAATATATGTTTCTAGTCTCTATTTATAGGCAGTTTTTCCTTCTGGTTTATGTAATTATTTTTAATTTAAGTCACTATAACAAATTTTTTAAATTTTTACAATGGTTCTTAGACGTAATTAACTCTTCTAATTAGTTGAAATAACACTTTTATTTGGTATTAAATGTACAAATATTGCATTTCTAATTATCTCATACACAAATCTCATGTCTTATATTGTGTCTTTCATCAAATTACATCCACAAGTGGTAAAAAGTTTTGCTATTATAATATCCGACAAGGGAAGATAATTTATGGTGCATGGCCAACGCTTAAAGCATTATATTGATGGAGCTTGAAGAGCCTATTTATTCTTGATCTTCATTAAGTTTGGGTCATAGTTATCATGGAACATGACGACATTCATGGCGCGGGGCCAATATCATATGGCGATGGCGCGAATATGGCGTTGCCACTGGACACTAGTCACATGACTTAAATAACTAAAATTCACATAGGCATATCTCTTAAATTAAATAAAAAACTATAGAGTACTTGATCTAAATAGCCATGTTGGAAATAAAAACACAACCTTGAAGTCATTCCACATCTAAAACACTCGAGGATACTAATAGTAAGCAAATACTTCAAGCTCCTGTGGTTCGTATTAATACGGTTCGTTTCCCCAAACAGGTAGTGTCACCAAATCTTCTATGCAAATACCACTACGACTAACTCAAGGTTGTGGCTGGGATCTCTTATGAGGCTTCACCTGACGCGAGGCGTAAGCCTTGACTTTACTCTCTTGCATAAGTACACAACCCAATCCACACTATATGGGAGGCCTCCCTAAGAACAGTGTAGTCAACTCCAAAGTTGGTTGCACCATCTGTACATACAAATTTGACATCTTTCCTTGGGAGTTTGTTTAATGGGGATGTAATGGAGTAAAACCCTCTACGAAGCGTCGATAGTAACTGTTGGGTTTGTGGAGGCTTGGGCTTGTCTTGTTGGCCCGGCCCATGTGATGTAACCCTAGGTTGTTTTCCTCCTATATATTGAACTTTGTACTTGTAATTCCGGAAGACACCACAAGTGAAATAAGAAAATCCTTCTGTTGTAGCCGTGGATTAGGGAAACCGAACCACGTTAAATTCTTGTGTGTCGTCCGTGTTCCGTTTCTCTTGTTTCTCGCAGATATTTGTGTGTGTTGTGTGTTTTATTCCCAACAAGTGGTATCAGAGCCTGATTCTACAACACGAGAGCACAAATTGTGAGAAAATTGTCGCCTAGGGTTTTCCAGATCTGTTCGTGTGCAGCCGCAGCCGTTCAAATCCTTTGCCGTTGAAGAGCGTCGCTGTGTAGGTTTTTTGCGTAGCGGCAGGTTCTGCAATCTAGAGGAGAGATGCGCAAGAGCGAGGGTGAGCAAACCAACGCCGCCGTCGAAGTAGCCGCTGGAAATTGTCAATCGGTGTTCTTCCGGATCAGATCGCTCGCCGAGTCGCCGCCGTCGTCCAGTGCAGAACCGAACCCACCGTCAATCCGCCGTCCGCGTGCAGTCAGGCCGCGTTGAGGAGCCGTCGCCGCCGGATTGAGGATCCGCCGCCGCAGTCGTGTAACCTGCGCACCGCTTCGCCGTAGAACACCGGAGCAGCAGGGGTAGAGAGCTGCCGCCGTCCATTGCCGCCGCGCAGAGACCGCTGCCATCTTCTCCTGCTTGACCAATTGAAGCCGCCGATCCAAGGAGCTGAATTTTTTGGGGGGCAGGTGCGAAGAAAGGAAAAAAGGTGGGCCAATTTGTTTTAACTGGTCAGTCATTTTTTTTAGGCAGTTGGTGGAGTTTTTTGGTGTTTTGGGCTTGTTTAGGTTTGGGCCGTAATTTTTCTTAAGGTGGATATTGGGCTGATTTGTTGTGGCTAATTTAATTGGTGTGGTGGGCCTGATTTTCTGACAAAAATACCAAGATCTGAAATTAGTTGTACCGGGTATCTCGTCTAGTCGTTTGAGATGGCAGAAGACGGGAAGTTCCGAATTGAGAAGTTCGATGGTACAGATTTCAGTTGGTGGAAGATGCAAATTGAAGATTTGCTGGTTCAGAAAGATTTGGACGTGGTATTGGGTGACAAGCCAGAAAAGATGTCAGGTGCAGATTGGGCAGGGTTGGATCGGAAAGCTATGTCCGTGATCCGTCTCTCGTTGACCGAGAATGTTGCGTTCAACATTCTGAAGGAGAAGACAGCGAAAGGAATTATGGAAGCGTTGTCTAACATGTACGAGAAGCCATCTGCAGCTAACAAAGTTTTTCTGATCAGAGAGCTGGTGAACACAAAAATGAAAGAAGACACTTCAATTACCGAGCATATCAACAAGTTGAATTCGATCTTAGCCAGACTTTTGTCAGTGGGCATTAAGTTCGATGATGAAGTTCAAGCTTTACTACTGCTATCGTCTTTACCTGATAGTTGGTCCGGAACGGTTACAGCGGTTACCGGTTCAGTGGGACCTGATGGATTCACCTTTGATCAGATTCGAGATCTCGTTCTTGGTGAGGATGTCAGAAGAAAGAGTTCAGGGGAGTCATCTGGTGAATTGCTTCATGTTGGTAGAGGCAGAAGAAATAGCAGAGGTAGTGGGAGCGGGAACAGACGAAGGAGTCAGTCAAAGACTCGCGACAGCTCAGGTGTAACGTGCTGGAAGTGCAAGGAGGTAGGGCATTTTAGGAATCAATGCCCGAATGACAAGAAAGTGAACATTGTTGAAGGTTCTGCGAGTGACGAGGAAGTCACTCTGAGTTGCTGTGAGGAAAGCAATGTGGATTCCTGGGTCATGGATTCTGGCGCTTCATTTCATGCTACCCACAGCAGTGAAGCATTGCAGAATCTGGTTATTAGAGACTTTGGAAAGGTACGACTAGCAGACGATAGAGCTCTTGAGGTGACGGGCATGGGTGACATGGTGTTAAAGACCCCAGTCGGTTTCTGGACTTTGAAGGATGTCAGAGTTGTTCCAGGCTTGAAGAAAAGTTTGATTTCTGTCAGGCAGTTGGACGAACAGGGACACGAGGTGAAGTTCAG